AGTCAAGGGCTTAAGTCTTGGTCCTGTCACTTGCTTGCTATATGACTTTGGTAAGTTACTTTAACTTCTCTAAATTTCAGTTCCTTGTAAATTAAATGGGAATACTATCAGAATCTACCTCATTGTTAGACTGAGACTTATAATAACTAAATGAAATTATGTATGTAAAGTGCTTAACATAGTGCCTGCTACACATCAGGAACACCTATTGATTAAAGAATTTTAATATGGCCAGGCATGGTGGCTCACGCCTGTAATCCCAGCACTTTGGGAGGCCAAGGCGGGCAGATCACAAGGTCAAGATATGGAGACCACTCTGGCCAACATGGTGAAACCCCGTCTTGAAAAAAAAAGAATTTTAAAATGATTATCTGACTATGTCTGTGGCCATATATCTACCTTTTCTATTCTTACTATGGATGAACTGTCCATGTTTCTAGGCAAGACCAATCCCTCTACTTGTACACAAGAACCTGTCCCTTTTTGCCAAAGTCATTCCACCAATTCTTCCCTCCCTCCCCACCATCCATTCCATCCTCTCTCCTGAATCACTTCTATAAACATATACACATACAGTCAATTCTCCCATTAACATATATTAAACCTTTTCTTGACTCAGTTTCCCTTTAACTACCAACCCATTTCTTTTTTCTTTCCTTGAGTCATAAATCGCTCTTCTCCCACTCTTTTCAGGATCCATTGTAACTGAACTTTTTTTCTATAACTTTATAAAAGTTGCCTGTTTTCAGATTGCCAATGACTTCTATGTTGCTAGGCCCCCATCTTGCTTGGCACATGTATAGCATCAGATATAGCTGATTACTCCTTTCTCCTTGAAACACATTCATTACTTAACTCCCAGGTGACCAAACTTTCTGCAATTTCTACCATTTCTTTGGCCTCTTTTGCAGTCTCCTTTGATGATTATTCCTCATCTTTCAAAACTCTAAAATATTGGAATGCTCCAGGCCTTATCTCTCTACACTCCCTCGGTAACCTTATCAAGTATCATGGCTGTTGACTCAAAAATCCACCTCTCTAAACCAGACCAGTCTCCTGAAACTCTAGACTCTGTGTCCCGTTGTCTACTCAACATATCCACTTGGATGAGTAACATGCCTTCTAAGTTTAATGTGCCCCAGACCAAACTGCTAATGCTCACCCCAATAATGGCTCCTCCCCAGCATTCCCTATATCACTAAATGGCAACTCCATTCTTCTAAGTGCTCTAATCAACAACCTTATCATGACCCTCTAGCTATAACTGAATAGTTTAAATTAAACCAGTCCTCTCATGGGAATAAGTATAATAGCTGAACATTTTAAAAAGCACACATAACAAAAATTACACAGGCCATTTGAAGGCACTGGAGAGCAACCAAGATGGTCAGGACATGAGAGACTGGGATCCCAGGGAGAAGATAGATACGTAAAGTGATACAGAACTCCATTGCTTTCTCTTATTGGGGCATTTGCTGAGTTTTGTGTAGGGCATTTATGGCGAGCAGAAAGCAGTGGCCTAGAGGTATCAGGAACCTTTCAGATATGGGGAGATACATAATTGGAGTTGAAAACTGCTGACAGGACTCGAAGGGACAAGATCCCAAAGAAAGGAGGATCATAGAAAAGCCAGTCTGACATTTTGCTCGGTTTTTATCCTTGAGGTATTTGCTGAATTCTAAGCTGTAAAGGCACTGGAAATCGAGAAACCAAAGAGTTGCTAAATAGCTAAAATGCTAAGTGTATATTCCAGCAGTCTCACAGGGCTGGGAGTATAAAAATTGGAGTTCATGGTCACCCAAAGATGGAACCCTATTAAATACCCCGGATGTTCATATTGAGAAAGAATAGAAAGGCCTTGCTCTGGGATAAGACCAAACCAGAAAATAATCAGCCCTCACAAAATCTGAAACCCTGATTAAAGGTCATCTGTTGCTACTCTAATTGCCTGCCAGAATAAAATTAAATCCTTTCTGCATAAAGACAACATCAGCCATAGTCTCTATGCAGTTTTTGTTTGTCTGTGTGTGTGTTTTTGTTTTTGTTTTTGCCAGAGACTCTGCGATTTTTTTGCCTGCACAATGTCCAACACACCGTCATTTAGTTATTATAACAATCCCAGTCTAACAATGAGGTAGATTCTGAGCAGAAACCTGAGCGTCATCTCTTATGCCTTTCTTTCTCTTGTGCACCATGTCACATCCAATCTGTTCTACCTTCAAAACTGAGCTGCAATCTAATCACTTCACACCACTTTGAGCCCAGATCCAAGCCACTGTCACCAGCCTTACTGGGAGCAGCCTCCTATCTGGTCTCTCTGCTTCTGCCTTTGCCCAACCTCAGTCTATTCTCAATCAAGCAACTAGAAAATAAAATTTTGAATCAAATTATGTCAAGCTTCTACTCAACACCCTTCAGGGACTTTTAACCCTAGAGTAAAACCTAAAGTCCTTGGACTGGCCTACAACGCACACAGCCCGGCCTCTGACTTCACCTCAAATGCTCTTCCTTGTACTCACTCTGCTCCACTCACTCTTACTCCCATCCCCAATATGTCTTCCTGCCTTAGAACTCTGCAATGGCTGCTTCCTTGACCTGGAAGTCTGTGCCAATTAGTCTCAAGTTTCATTTCTTTACCTCCTATCTTTTTTTTTGTTTGTTTGTTTTTTGAGACAGAGTTTCACTCTTGTTCCGCAGGCTGGAGTGCAATGGCGCGATCTCGGCTCACCGCAACCTCCGCCTCCTGGGTCCAGGCAATTCTCCTGCCTCAGCCTCCTGTTTACCTCCTATCTTTACTCAAATGTCACCTTCTCAATGAAGCCTCCTCTGACCACTATAAAATTGCTAGGTCTCCTACGCCCCTAGCACCTAGCCTTCTTTCCTGCTTTATTTTTCTCCTTAGCTATTATAATTATCTAACATACATGATATACTCACTTCTCTTGTTTGTATGACTCCTCCGCTAGCATAAAAATTCTGTGAAGGCAGGAGTTTTAATCTGTTGTTTGTTTTTGTTTTTCACTGCTATATCCTCGCTAACACCAGGGGAGTGGGACAAGAAAAGAACAGTGGTTGGCACATACTAGATACTCATAACTATTCGTTGAATGAATCATTCAGTTTCTGATCATCCAAGAGTTGTCCAGAAAACAGTCAGATATCCAGGGCTGTCACCTGAGGGAGAAGTCTGGGTTAGAGATACATACTTTGCTGTCCTGAATATATAAATGGCAGTAGAAATTACAGCCGTGAAATGGGACGGCCTTGGGAGAAAGCAGAATAAGAGAAACAGGCTGTGGACAAAAACCTGTACAGGAACCTATAGCGGCTATCAATTTCTTTATAAAGTTCACTGTGGTTGGTAGAACACTATTGGTTACCCATTCAATACCCATTCTATTCTGCCCCAACATCCTTCTAACAGAATTTGTTCTTCTCCTCCCTGGCCAAGTGTTTATTGGAGGTCCATAAAGACGGGTTACCTGGTCTAATCCAAATATGGTGATCTTACATAGAGCCTAAGCTTAAATCAATGATATGATGTAATCCTGGTCACTTGGGAGTTTACAAGGGGGCTTTGCTCTTCCAATAAAGACAAAAGAGAAGATACTTCTATTACTAACTTGTCAAAGCCAACAACACAGGTGAGAGTGGAAATGTGAGGGAAAAAAATGTGCTGTTGATAATGTGCTGAGCCCCCCCAAGTTAACATCCAGGTTTCAACCTGGGAGTGTGAAATAATGAATTCCTTATTATTTTAGCCACCTGGAATTGGTTTTCTGTTACTTGAGGGAAAAAACATTCTAATTAATATGCTAGTGTTTAGTGTTTCCACGATGTGGCACCAGCCTTTGTTTCTGTTGATATTTCTACAACTCATCTATACAAATCCTGCTTAGTTCTCCAAATACACCTTGGGCTTTTTGAGCCCTTGATCAAGCCATTCTGAATGCACTTCCCCCAAGAGGCTGGCCAGTTAAAATACTATCATTCATCAAACATGATTTAAATGTCACTTGCTCCTCTAGCCCCTTCAGAAGTTACCTCAAGGCCAGTTGCTCACGCTTGTAATCCCAGCACTTTGGGAGGCTGAGGTGGGTGGATCATGAGGTCAAAAGATCGAGACCATCCTAGTCACATGGTGAAACCCCGTCTCTAGTAAAAATAGAAAAATTAGCTGGGCATGGTGGCACATGCCTGCAGTCCCAGCTACTCAGGAGGCTGAGACAGGAGAATTGCTTGACAGAGGTTGCTGTGAGCCGAGATCGCACCACTGCACTCCAGCCTGGGTGACAGGGCAAAAATAAGAAAGGGAAGGAAGGAAGGAA